GTGAAAACCTGTCTCTACTAAAACTACAAAAATTAGCTGGACGTGGTGGCACATGCCTGTAGTCCCAGCTACTCAGAGGCTGAGGCATGAGAATCGCTTGAACCCAGGAGGCGGAGGTTGCAGTGAGCAGAGGTCACACCACTGTACTCCAACCTGGGCTCAAAAGGAAAAAAAAAAAAAGGATTCTACTGAACTGTCTCAATCCATTTTTGTGTTGACAGGCATTTGAGTTATTTCCAGCTATGTCCTTATTATGAACGTTGGTATGAATATGCATATGTACATATATATGTATATTCTGGGAGATGAGGTGGAAGGTAGAGTTTTTTTCTGGAGTTTATACATAAAAATGAAATTTCTGGGTGACAGAGAATGCACAATTTCAGCTTTACTGGATAATGCTGATTTTCCAAAATAGTCGTAGAAATTTATACTCTTACCAGTTTTAGAAAAATGTTCCAATCACTACATACCCTCATCAGTACTAGATATTTTCAGACTTAAAAAAATGGTTGCCAATCCACTGGATTAGAACATGCATCTCATCTAGTTTTTAATTTGCTTTTCCCAGGTTACTACTGGTGGTAGGATTTTTTTTCATGTGTTCATTGGTTATTTGCATTTCCTCTTCTGTGAAATTACTCTTTATTGCTATTTTTCTATTGGGTACTTGAATTTCTCCTGTTGATCTATGTATTGAAAATAATCATGTCTTGCTTTGTGCTTGTGTTTTCATTGTTTTTATGATATCTTGATTAGCCTCATTTTCAAATGCACTGTAACCTAAATTATTTTAGCATAATAGGTTGTGGTTTAATTTATCTTCTTTATAATTTGCAATTTTCCATCTCCTATTAAAACATGCTTTCCTACCCTGTGAGCATAGACCTATTTTTACATTATTTTCTGAAATTTCTAAATTTGTCTTTAACATTTACGTCTTTAGGGGTTTGATGCAGTAATCTCATTTCATTTATTGAAAAGTCCATTCTTCCTTTACTGACCTACAAAGTGAGCTCTACTGTATGTTTTATTCAGCTCTCTATTTACCTGGTTAGATATAAATATATAAATTTCTCAGCTCTGTATTGTGCTCCATTTATAAATTTATTTGTTCCTCTGTCATATACATTATGGCATTTTCCTTTTTTATTTATTTTTTTCTTTCTGAGTTTTTTCATTTTTCTTTTTTTGAAAAACTTCCTTTTTAACATCTTCTTCACCCCATTCTACTCCACCCTTGGGAAAAATATTGTAAAGTAGTTAATCCACATAATATTGCTGGTATGTGCTTTTGCATAATGTGTATTTTGCTTTATGCAAATCCATTTTAAATTTAAGTGAACGGTATCATGTTTTATACCTCGTTCTGTTTCTTATCCTTTTTTTCTTCACTAAGCATGGTGTTTTTAAGACTCATCTATTTAATAATGTGCAGAGAGGATCTACTGGTCCCAACATAAATAATACTCCACAGGGCACTGCCCCATGTTTCACCTGTCTGCCTGACCCACAGGCAATGCTGGAGCAAGCACCCATGAACACGTTCCCTTACTGACCTGCATCAGAATTTCCATAGCGTAAATGTGTACAAGGGTACCTGCACATGCTTGGGTAAGGTTTGCACATGCTTAGCCTGACTAGGGTGTGCCAGGTTGTTCTTTAGCATGGCTGTTCCAGTCTACAAGCGCACCACAGTGAATGGGGCCTTCATCTCCCCTACATCTGTGATACTTGGCATTGCCTAGCTTTTCAAGCTTAGCCAGTCCATATGCAGAATGTGATATTATATTATTTAAATTAGCATCGTTCTGTTTTCTAAATAAAGCTTTTGAACATTGATTCATTGTCTTTCAGTTTCCTTTTCTACAAATAGTCACTTCATATCCTTTGCATATAGTATTAGTTTGTTCTTACATCACTACAAAAAACTACCTGGGACTGAGTAATTTATAAAGAAAAGAGGTTTAATTGACTCACAGTTCCTCATGGCTGGAGAGTCCCAGGAAACATAATAATCATGGTGGAAGGCGAAAGGGAAGCGAACACATCTTACCATGGTGGAACAGGAGAGAGAGAGAAAAGGGAGAAGCATTATACACTTTTAAACAACTAAATCTCATGGGAGCTCATTCAATATCATGAGAACAGCAAAGGGGAAGTCCACCACCATGATTCAGTCACCTCCCACCAGGCCTCTCTTCTAACACATGGGAATTACAATTTGACATGAGATTTGGGTGGGGACACAGAACCAAGTCATATATATATATATATAATGTACATGTTGTATATGTACAACCAAACCATATATATAATGTACGTGTTATATATGCATATGTATATATAAAGCCTGATTTTCCCTACTAGAGGTTGCTGTCTTTTCCTTCTTTATTTACAGAAAATTCTTCTAAACACTAGAATGTAAATATTATTTTTATTTATTTGACCGATGAAAATATATTCTCTTATTTTTGTAGCTACTAGATTTCTTTACAGTGTTCTTCATTTTGAGGAATGCAATTCATCAGAATCATGCTTTTCCAAGATATTTTGTTTGCTTTGTTTTTGTTTATAAAACAATCCTTTCCTGACCCTAAATCACATGATATTCTGCTACTTTTATTTTCTGCTTTTATGGTATTCTCGGTAATTTATCCAGATCTGCTGTCTAGTTCACTCTTTAGCTTTTTCCCAATACAATGATAAGCCTGTTCATTGAATTTCTCATTTCAATTAGCATGGGAAAGTTTAATTTTTAAAAACCTCCTGATTATTTTCAGGTCACTTTTTATGCGTCCCTATTTAATTAAACATAGTGAAATGCCTGTTTGTATTCAGTGTGTAATATTTCCATATCGAAATATTTTTGCTGGTTAGTTCCTGCAGTAGTTGTTGTTGTTGTTGTTGTTGTTGTTGTTTTCCTTGCTGGCACTTGTTTGTGGATCTAGAACTTGTTTCCTTGCGTGATAAGAGACCTTTGCAACTTTATCCGTAGCTGTCCTTTGAGTCTCCGGTTCAGGGTATGGAGGACTCACATTTCTGCCAAGTGCCTGGGTTCACTGCCAGCCCTGGACAAGTGTGACCAAATGACTAGCCTCATGTTTAGTGGAGTTCCCAAGCTGCATAAACTCAGACTACACGTTTCCATGAGGATCAGCTTGTGGTCTGAATTTCTCAGAAGACATCATTTTTCTTCCCCCATTCGGAATCAGGGTTCCTTGGCCTTCCTAGGTTTGGAGAAAATTTATCAACAGTTCATCTTTGTGCAGAGAGTCCTATTTTCGTGAAAAAGTTGTCTTAGCAGACACTCTCTAGGGGGTGAGGGAGGGGTGCTGTCACCAGCCAGAGGACACCAGAGCCCAGGCTGACTGTGTTCAATAAGGCCTCAGGGTGCTGCAGGCTGGGAGCTCTGCTTCTGGCCCTGAAATCCTGCGCACATGTCCCGCTCAGCCTCCCATTGTCTCCCTAACTTGCTATTTTTTTTTTTTTTAATGAATTGATGATGTAAAATATCTGATTCAGAATTTGACTTCTATTTCATGGTCGAATTAGTTAGGGGCCCAACATGTCTTCACTTACACAGTTTACCTACCTATAGAAACGGTATAAATCCTTTGTTTTTTGGTATAAAATCTCAGGGTCTCCATGGCGTGGCAGTGCTGTGGCACTCTGAACTTGCGGTTATTAACATTCCACCCGCACTGTCGTGTCAAACTGCCTGGCCTCGCCTTTCTCTCTTCGATGTTTTAAATTCGTCACTTGCAGGGTGCTTTTCCCTTCATGCTGTCATTGTGATTTTGATTTCACTCAACTCAGCAGGCGTGCACAATCACCAGGTGGCGGCTCCCCGTTCCAGCACAACTGTGTCCATCATCTTCCTCATCCTCTGGGTACCAGAACAAGCCCTTCTTATTCCACAAAGCCTTCTCTGCCAACTTGGAGCCACTTCGGACTCACAGCTTTGAACTCTTCTGGAGTGAACTGAGTTACTGACATCCCTGATTCAGATGATGAAACTCCTTATCCCGTTTTCTTACCAGATTGTTACCTACTCGAGAGCAGCAATCATTATCTGCTTTTTTGGTGGCTTCACTTCAGCATCCTATACACTGTTGGTTCAATAAGTATTTGATATCTGTGGAACACATTTCTAATGTTAAATGATCTTGTTTTAGACTCGAGATAACACCATCTCTTTTGTTTTATTGCATGACAATATCACATACATTTTAAGAGCTCTAAACAGAGTTGCGGATATCCTATTCATCTTTGATTTGCACCCCTCTTTTGGCGATCACCACTTAGATTCTTGGCTCATGAATCTGTTCAATGAGTATAAATGATTGAGTCTCTTAACTCCCAGAAGAGTTAACTAGAAAATTAGTCCTCAACTTGAAACTTCAATTATGTACATAAAATCTATGCACCCTCCTCATTAAGCACTTTTGTCAGCTGAAGCTAGTCTTCAATTTAATAATTTTATTAGTATTCTAAAATTGTAGCAGGAAAGATTAATTTTAGTAATAATTAGAAAATTGAGCATTAAGTTATTTTTTTCCAACAGAATTGTCTTCATACCATTATATTTCACTGTGTTTTAGCAAGGCAGTACATGTGCAAACGGAAAATAATTTATTTGTGTGTGACCTAACTAATGCATTTTTAAACAGAATGTAAAGTTTGGTAAAAACACTAGAATTCCTGTTTTATTAACTAAGCTCCAAATAATGCTAGCCTCACCAAAAAAAAAAGAAAAAAGAAAAAATCATGTCTATTCTGTTAGAGCTACCATCTTCTAACTTTTTCATCAGCTTATATGAAACATATACAGCAGCAGGAATTGAACAGAAACAATTAAGGATATGGAAAGTATATCTTTCCAGTGAGATTTGCTCTGCACACAATATACATGTCAGGCCCTGCATGATGTATGCTTTCTGTCTGGCCTTCCCCCAACCCCCACCCTTTTCTTACCCTTTTCTTCCTTGTCACCCCAGCAGCTGAGCAGCCGTGTCTTCTGAGCTGGTGCATAGGTCGGCTTTGGCGTGAACTCCGTCTACCTGCATCATCCCTGCACATAGCAGGATGCCTTCCTCATGCCATTCTGATCACACTATTGGCTCATTCCTCTTTGTTCAAATTGCAAATTTGAGGCAATTGGGGTGCTAGAATCCTGAAGGTCAGATGCTACATAAGTCTCATCGTTGGATGTAGTCCTGCCTCATTTATGGGGTCAAAGTGTCAACATTTTAGGTATGTATACCTCAAAGTGGAAGGAGACTGGAACTCTAGGTTAAGCTGCATGTCAGCTGTGTAGTGTCATTCAGGATTCTTCGTGAGGTGAGTCATTGGAGGAAGCAGCGAAACCATGGGGGCAAGGAATATTTCAAAGGCCCAAGGACAATTTAAACATCAACAAACATTGTGTCTGGACCCAATGGGATATGGAGCTTGTTGTCAGGTGACATGGAGCTTGTCAGGTGACATGAGGAATCTTGTGTCTATGATGGAATCTCTCACTAGGTAGTGGAGAGAGAGAGCCACCTTCCAAAAGGCCAAAAATGGTACAAGAAAAAGGAGAGGTGTGGTTGAGTAGTTAAAGAAAGTTGTGAAGATTTTTCTAAGGAGGTAGTGAAAGTTTGACTTCTCTGCTGCCATTATTAACAACATCTTTTCCATGGAAGTTTCTGTGCTCTGGTCTTCTAGAGGAACAAGAATCCAAGCTGAATATATATATATTTTTGAGACAGGGTCTCACTCTGTTGTCCAGGCTGGAGTGCAGTGGCGTGATCTTGGCTCACTGCAACCTCCACCTCCTGGGTTCAAGCTATTCTTATACTTCGGCCTCTGGAGTAACTAGGACTACAGGCGCCCGCCACCACTCCTGGCTAATTTTTGTAGTTTTAGTAGAGACAGGTTTTTGCACGTTGGCTAGGCTGGTTTCAAACTCCTGGCCTCAGGTGATCCATCCACCTTGGCCTCCCAAAGTGGTGGGATTACAGGCATGAGCCACCATGCCCTGCCCAAGCTGAATTTTTGTATGTTTTATTGGAAATGTAGAAACATTCCATTCACACTTAATTAGTTCATTTGGAAAATATTGATTAGAATTTCCCATTTTCTAAAAAGCATTTTTCAACTAGTACTCCAATCACTGTTATTAACATCATCTCTACAAAATCAGTCAGTCTCCTTTAAGCTTTATGTTATGAGCGATGTCAGTTTGATTACTTAAAAAACAATTAAAATGAGTTGTAATTTTATATCAGACTTTGAGCCATATATGGATTGATGAATGTTCTTAAGTCATCATACTTTAAAATTCAACCAAACAGGTAATTATCATATACCATCAAATATAATTATAGGTGCTCATCTCCATAAAACCCTACAACTTAATATCACATATTAGCAGTTAATCATATAGTTTAAATGGGTCTATGATGCATTTTTATGAACTCTCTAATCTGCATCAGTGAAGAATACACACAGCACATGAGAAAAAGGTTAAATGAATGCTCAAGGAAAAAAGGATATATTTTAAAATATTTACACTTCTGAAAGGAAGCGTGTTCTAATTCAGGAGCCTTGACTAAGAGTTAAGAATCAAATCAGATCAACGCAGCCCATTCTGGGAAGTGCCACCCAGAGAAACCACTCCCATTATTACACTTGCCTCCAAGGACAGCCAGACCAATGGACTATGTCCCCACCCCCAGTTCTCATTATTTCCCCTGCCAATGAACAATCCATTTAACAGCAAATACACTATGAGGATTTTTTGGGTTGGTTTCCATTGACTCAGCCCTGACAACTCACTAATACCAAGCTTCATGACACAACCCTTTTATTCCCAGGAATTGTAAGTGGTTCCATCTGCAAATTCTTCAGAAGAATTCTTGTGCATTGATATTACCTCCTGTGATCTTGTATCACCTCTATTGAACTGTGAAATGCTGATGGTAGCTTGTCAAAGTGACTATACTTATTCACCTATCCTTCTATTCAGTGTGAAGGCTATTCCTGTCTTACAATTTTTAATTGTTTAAAAGAAAGTTTGATATATAAAAACAAGAAAAGGAGCCGCTTTGATAGTTTTAAAAGCCTAGGCTGAAATGATGCATTACAAAGTATATAGATTCTGTACTCCAGATAAGATGGAGTTTAGAGGCAGTGGTAGAAACGTTTGCTCCTTGATGGGGAAGGTAATAAACTCCTGCTCTCACTGCGAGAATTGACCATGAGGCGGGGTCAGGAATCTTCAGGGGAGAGGAGAGCGGTGTGGCCCTTGTCTAGGTCTCCATTTATACCTGAAGATGGAGCGGAATACACACTCCAGGTGCCTGGAACACCATTGTGTGGGCGTGTGGGTCACGGCTCTGAGGGATACACACTCCAGATGACTGGAAGTCCATAGCCTGGGAAGCGCAGGTCACACCCCGAGGGAAAAGGCTTAAGGATGAACATCTGCAGGAGGAGGGGACAAGGATGGGAGGCAGCAGGGTCATTGGGCTTTCCAGGACTCAATCAAAAGGTTTCCAGGTCATTTCTGGCACAGCTGTCGGTGGTTACAGGAAACAATTTGGATCCCAGGCTCCTGGAGATGAACAGCTTTATGGTGAGCTCAGCTCTGAGTGTGGACGCGTTGCCATCCCAGGGGTTTCTGTCTCAGAAGAAACGGAAATCTGGTGAAAGGATGGCCAGGCTGGCAAGAAACCAGTGGTTTAGCTAGAAAAGGAATTTGCTACTGTTGCCAGCCAAGGCTTTGTTTGTTTTGGGGAACAGATATTGCTCTGAGTGAAATATCCATTTCTGGCATCTATGAAAAATTGGTTATGGTTCCTTGTTTTATTTATATCATTACATTTTTAAAATGAAGGATTTAATTTGCTTTTGCTCGTATTTGTTGCTGACATTGCTCAGTTCTCCAAATGGCTGCTGCCTTTCCTCTAGTACTTAGTCTGCCATCCAGAAGCAATTCAACAACACCCAAGAAACTTCAGTTATTGTATTGGTAACTATAACACAAAGATTAACAAACAGGACAGGAAGGGGGAGAAGGCAGTCAGGTAGGAAGTAGACAATCTAACACTGAGAGAGCACTCCCCAACATAGGCACTGTGTGGAGGTTTTACCCAAATGATGCTTCATTTAACTTTCACCAAAAGAGAGCAAGGTCCTTCCCCATCTGAGGGACAGGCCTCTGACACCCATGTCCATAGCTGTAATCCCACAGGTTGGCCATGGCTGAGTAGGTCAGGGACAGACACTTCCTGGAAGCTGGGCTATTGTCTTCTCACTCTTTGATTTGGAATTCAGTCTTTATCATTGAAGGGTTAGAACTGTAATAGACAAACAATTGGGAACTAAGAGGCTGCTGGATCCTGTTACATGAATTAGCAAAATAGGACATCAGATGGATAGATGGAGAGAGACAGAAAGAGAGATGGATAGATGGATGGATTGAGAGATGAGAGATGACAGCTAGAGGACGGGAAAGAGGAGAGAAGGAAGGAAGAAAGGACACGAGAGAAAGAAAAAGAGAGAGAGAGAGCAACTTACAGAAAGAAATGTGCATGGGAAGCAGAGCCCTGGTTCCAGTGTCTTCCTGTAGCTCCCCTGAATTCCTATTCCTTGGTTCCACGAGACACCCCTAAGTCCTTACAACAAACTCTCATTCTAAGCTAAAAGTTTGTTTTTGTTGCCTGCACACAAAGACTCCTAACTAATGATACAGTGAACAGAATGACTGAACTCTGTATAATATGATAACCTGATAACACTTTTAAGATCGATTAGAATGGGACCAAACTAAAGGCAAAACACCTGAGCACAGTGACGTCCTATACAGTCATTAACATTCTCCTGACTTAGAGCCCGTGATAATTAGGGAGTGACCTGCAGCAGTTTCCTTCACTCTGTGAGCCATGCATGCAAATGAGGGTTACAGGAGAGGAATGCAGACCTGGGGCCCACCCGCATTCATGAACAATTGATGGGGCCATGACAGGTCACTCTGATCTGCCCAGTGCCCCTTGCTGCTGCTGGTAGACTTGTAGGATCCTATAATTTAGGCTTCTCCTTAATTCAAATGAACTGTGACTTTTTTGTGCCCTTCTCTGTTCCTGTTATGTGGAAGAAATTTCATCTCTTGGTCATTTATGCATTTTAAGATTTGATAGCCACCCTGGTGGCTCACGCCTGTAATCTCAACACTTTGGGAAGCTGAAGTGGCCGGATCACAAGGTCAGGAGATCGAGACCATCCTGGCCAACATGGTGAAACCCTGTCTGTACTAAAAATACAAAAAAAAAAAAAATAGCTAGCATGGTGGCACATACCTGTAATCCCAGCTACTCAGGAGACTGAGGCAGGAGAATCGCTTGAACCAGGGAGTCGGAGGTTGCAGTGAGCTGAGATTGCACCACTGCATTGCAGCCTGGTGACAAAAGGAGAACCCAACCCAAAAAAAAAAAAAAAAAAAAAAAGATTTGATAGCAACCCTTTAGAGGTCGACATGAGAAATAAGTGAATTAGTATTTAAAAGACCATAGAATGCCTGGTCCATGGTAAGCAAGTAAAAGTCTATTCACTGCCTACACAATAGCCACATGTTTCTCTCCATTTCCCAGGCCACTGAGCCTTAGGTGGGGACATATGACAATTTCTGGCCAATGTGCTGTGAATGCAAGTGACATGTGCTACTTGTGGGCTGAACCCAACGGGAATTTTAACATGAGCCTGGGTTTACTCTGCACGTTTGGCCCCTGTTTGACCAGTGTCTTCATGGCTTCCTGCTCTGGAATGTGCAACAAAACACTTGAGGGATAGAGCTGAGCCTTCCTCTACATGTTGCAAAGGTAGAATGTGTGAAACAAAGTCTTGATCCTGTTGAGCCCCTAGGGTTTAAGGATCATGTGATAGCACAGAATCATCTCTCAAATCAAGAAATAAACATACTGTCTCATGAGCTTGCAGTCTATTTACAAGACTGAGACAGGGCAAACATTTTCTTAAGAAACAAAAAGGTAAAATCGCATCTACAAACCTTGCAGCTTTCTACAAATTCTCCTCCCCTGGAATTCTCTGCCTTCCTCCTTTCTTGATGTCCTTACACAACATGAAGGAGTGAATTGTCCTGTAACACACATTCATGATGAAGGCATGGGATCCTACAGATCGGGGTTTCTTCCTGCCTTGGCCCATCCTGTTTGACCTGGGACACTCTATGCAAATTATCT